CCATAAGATATGAATTACCTTCTGCCCACGTGGTGGGGTCAACGCCCTGGGGAGGTGGAAGTTCTCCAGTTAGCTATGCATGAGAAAACTCTAGGACTATGACTTTCTCTTTAGGCAAAGCCCCTGCATAAGACAACTTGGATGAAGCAGTTTTAGTAGAAGGCGATAGAGTAGGGGCTACTAAAGTTAGAGCCTTCGAAGGAGAAGTTGAGCTCTTCTGAAAAATTCAGGTAAAAACATTAACCTATGAAGAAGTGTTATTTCATGAATAAACAAGCCAATTACCTTTCTCAACGATGAGAGGAGCATCATCATCATCGGGCAAAACTAGTGGAACTGAAGCTGGCCGTTTGCGGCTAGAAGCACCTTTAGCTGTACTAGCTTGAGCAGGTGGGGAACCGATGGAAGAGCAGAACATCTGACACAACTATGTGGCGATTTAGAAGGGGAAACGAGATTCCTGGCAGATACAGGAATGCCAGGAATAGGAGAAGATGAAGTCTTTGGCCGCTCTAGCAGATGGAAAGCACAGTCAGCGTCAGCTGTGAATAGCCTACATTTCACAGACAGCCAGAGTCTTGTGCCTCTGTTTTATTTATGGTATGAAAACGCTCTATCAAGCTATTAGAAATGCAGGGAGGAACATGACACAGTTGGCCAAAATCAAGCGACGAGCAAAAAATTGGGGAGCATATATCTCAACTCCAGCCTTGACATTTGTTCTGGTTAAAATATCATGGAACAGCTCATTCCCAATCAAGAATTGAGCCCAAATAGGCAAGACTGTGCTCACATCATCCATAGTGGAAGGAGACTGCACGTAATTTGAAACTAAGGGAGTTGTCGAAAGAAGTTTGTGAAGTCGTCATTTGATACAAAATACAGCATCTGTGAAGATTGCTTAAGAAACGTAGCAGAAAAGTAAGAAGATGAACAGTGCAGTAAACAGTAAGAGAGAAGCACGCAATGTAAAGACGTGGGTGTAATGGCACGATGTAGTGGTGTGTCCTTTAGTTTATAGGGGTTATGTGTGTTACACTTTTCAGAATGTAGAAGGTTACGGCCAAACTGATATAATAGTTCTCCGCCCTTTTGGGATTTCAAGTATTGCCAGAAAATACAAATGAAGAATATGGCATGAGATTAATACTCGTTGTTAATTTTGCCATATTGGGGGATAATTGTTGATATACAAAAATAAGGCCCAATTAAATGGTCCAAGAAATGGGGTCCAGTTAGAGAATTTGAATGATAAGCCCAAATGAGACTATTGTAAAACATAGTGAAGACCCATAAACGGAGGACTATCATCGTCCAAGCCTGCTGGATGCCCAAAGATTTGAGCGAACATAGCGTAGTGTTGTTATTTAAGGCGACGATTATTGAAACAGTTATTGAGCAATCTCATCACATTCCACGATCCAAATATCTCAGTTGCAAGCAGTTAAAAGAGGGGAGCAATAATAGCAGTTTAAAAATGGCGGTTCCTCGACACGTCGTCATTATGAAGCAAGTGGATAGTTATAGAGCGACAACAGTTTTCAAACGATTTTATAAGGAAAACTGGCAAATGAGTATAAAAGAAAAAAGAAGACATAAAAGGAAAGACCTTGAATCAATCACTCTTAAACAGATAATTATGTAATTTCATTTCGTTTAGTTTTTATTATCAGCTTTCAAATTACTTTGTGTGCTTGTACTCCTTGGAGGCGTTTTGTGTCTTTCCAATTCTAATCTTCATAAATAAAACACTCATCGTTGGGACTTTGTCTCGAGAGGTTTGTTCCTTACATAATCGTGCGATCCATCTTTTAATTGTTAACGAGACTCGATAATCCACACGAAACAATTTGGCACGTCCAGTAGGACAATTGATGTTTGAGGATACGAAAATTGAAGCAATATGTCTCATAAGAATTCTGATAAAGAACTAGCAAGCCAAGGAGTAGTCAGTCTATGATCGAACGATATGAGGAGCAGCAAAATACTTCACGAACAAAGGGATGGAGTCAAAGCAGTCAATTACAAACCGATAACAGAATTGAGTCCTCGAACCATGCGTGCATTGCTTGGGGAACTCACACAAGATGCTGTTGAACAGGTAAATCTATGAAATGTTCATAATATGGAAAGATTCACTCAAAATGGGAATGCACATTATGACAACATGGCCAAATAACTAAACACGTTAAATGAAATCTTGAATAAATTAGTAGGCCAAATGTGTCAACTGGTTGTTCCAATAGGGAACCATTTTCGAGCCAGGGCGATAGTGGGATATAATTCCCCAGGCTTGAACCTAAATCAAGGAATAGAACCACCTTTTGGACCATCTACTTCAAACTAGGGGAGTGGTGGAACGTTAAATTTAAATAGTGGTAATGGAATATCAAACTTGGGTGGTAACCCAAATATAAGAGACAATGTCTAAACGAACGGACAGAACACCCCGTGTGTTAATGATGACGGAAAACACTTAGGCTAACGGTAACAATGGTTTAAACAACGACGTTTTTGCCACAAACCAATGACCGAATATCAGGCCTCAAGTAATTCCACCAATGAACCAACTTGTAGGAGTTCCATATGTTCCCAACGGTATGTTGAGAAACCAAATTATGGAAATAGTGCAAGATCAAATGGCTTTTGGGGTACGTCATGTTATTAGGCCGATTTACACAAAGTCATATCCTGATTGGGTAGATGAGGCATATCCGTGGCATAGGGGATACAAGGTACCAGAATTTTCATTATTCACTGGTCTGGGAGAAGTTTCTACTTTGGAACATATCTGACGATTCACACTACAAAGTGATGAAGTAACCGACTATCAAAAAATGAGACTGTTCCCTAGTTCGTTAACAGGAGTAGCTTTTTCCTGATTTATTAATTTGCAGCAGAGCGACAGTTTTTAAGAACTCGTAGAAAATAGTAACTAAACAAGCTATAACTCATAAATAAATAAAAAATTGCTCCATTAAAGTGAAATTTATCGACACAGGAGCAATTTCTAACTCTTATAAGCAACTGTGTAAGCCGTATTTGAGTGCATGATATCATTTTTTTTCTTTTTTTGCCGTAAATTCTTCTTCTTTCGATAGTACATAGTTAACTTAATCATCTAACCTAAACGCACTTGAGTTTATGTATAATTTCGAGTTTATTTCGATAAAACCATTTAGGGTAAATTTCTAACATTTAAATTTATAAATTTATATGCTTTGATATATGACATTGGGATGCGAGTGTACTAAATTATATTTTGTGGACCATTAGATCCACTTGGTGGCTCCAATAGTTTTGTAAAAGGTCCCTATGCCCCGTAATATTCAAAGCTACCGTCCAATACATTTGTCACGATAACTCATTATTTTGTAAAGTACACATTCTCTCTCATAAATCAAATAGAAAAACACA